AATTCTCGAGAGGGACGTTAAACAACATACAAACAAACAAAACAAACGGAGATTCAAGATATTGTGATGATCCCCGCCTTTGAAAACAGCTTCGTAAATACATACTTTTATTTAATGTAATTACGTAAAGTTGTAGATTACATGTTGACCATTCCTGCAATTAAAAGAAAAATGCTTGTTTTGAAAGTTTATTTTGTCGCAATTTTCGCATGTCCTTAAGTGCAGTCATCCTTTACAAGTAACCTTCACGCAAGCTATCTAATTTTTCATAATGGTTAATTGTTATATATGTGTTTCTACCAATTTAACTTACCCCCCCCCCCCCCCGCCCACTTCTCAGTACAATAGCGCTATGGAATATTTCTCTAAACTTCAAATTAGATCTCGGATCGACACATAATTTTAGGGTAATGTCGCCAAGACTTCGTAGTTCACGTTCTGCAACGTTTGATTGGCATTATAAAATCTAATGATACGTGAGACCAACAATTTCGGTAGCGATTAAAATTTCTAACCAGATTAACTGATAAAGAAAATAAACTTTAACCAGGAATTTCATCAGATGTCATTAATGAAATCCATTTTCTTTGATTCGATCCATTATCTTGCTGCTAGACGTAAAAAGTTTGATACAAGAAAATATTTTATTGCCTATTTAGATTTTTAATACCCCAAATATGAGACTTTTTTAGTGCAAAAAGGTCACACAATAATTTACGCGCATTAATTTGCATGATTTGTTCAATGGTAAATATTATTCAAACTATTTTAAGTAAAATAAGATTATGTTTATTGCCATGGTTACATCTGATAAAATATGATAACGGTTAAAGCGATTAACCAAAGAGTCACAATTTAAGTGCAGAAAGGTCAACTTAATTGTACCGTAGCTTAGTTAGATGCACACTGACCCCCCATTTTCTCTGCGATTTTGAGTCATACTATATGAGTACTTATCCAAAATATACTTCTCAAAAAATTCTTGATATAACAAATTTCACGAGTGACATACCTTAATAATGAAAAAAAGCGATTTTCGGTGTTAAATAGCAGTTTATGCTTTCATTGCCCTGTTCTTCTTCTTACACTGTACATATACATGTATAAATTTAAAATATGATAGAACTTCACAATATAATGCCTCTTCCAATCTTACGAAGGGCATTTCAAAAGTTCTGGCAACTGGTATATAAAATTTTAACTACGTTACGGATTAAAATGACTCTGATACCACTGTAAAGCTTAGGCAAATATGCATTAGTAGTGACGTCATTTTACATTCAAAATGACGTATAGGTCTGCTAAAATGACGTCATAATTAGGTATACTCTGTATACTGGGCGTAAAAATGACCGATAAGGAGAACAATTTTTTTGTTGAGCAAAGAGCGTATTGCAAAATTCGCTCGTTGCTTGGCTTTACGGCAACAGAAATAAAAGCCGATTTAGATGTAGTATATAGAGAGCATGCTCTTTCATATCGAGCAATAGCAAGATGGGTAGTTCAATTTAAAGAGGGTAGAAAATCAATTGAAGATGACCCCCGTTCGGGGCATCCAGTTTGTGCATATGGCGAAAAAGAAATCGTCGCTGTTCAAAATACGATAGCTGATGATGCTAGATATACAGTTGAGGAAATAGCAGACTTAACTAACATTAATTCGTCAGCAGTTTTTCGTATTTTAAAGGAAAAACTTAAAGCTTAGGAAAGTCTGTGCTAGATGGGTGCCGCATCTTCTCTCGGAAGAGCAAAAGCGCATCCGGGTAGAAATGGCTTCACAGTTACTAACAATTTATGAAGATTGTGACCAAAGGCGAATAAATGAGATTGTAACTGGTGATGAAACATGGATATATTTTTTTTGAACCGGAAACTAAGCTCAATAACAAAGTTTGGATCGATGAAAATGATACAAGGCCACAAATTGCACGCAGAAACCAGTCTGTCCGGAGAGTAATGTACGCCTTATTTTTTGATTCTAAAGGCCCATGTTGCTCAAGTTCCGGTTCCAGAACACAGCAGTGTTACTGGTCAATTTTATGCAGAGAATGTCTTGTCTCAGGTTGTAGAGCACTATAAACCGACCCGACCAACAACCAGTACTAGAGGAATAAAGCTCCTCCGTGACAACGCACCTGCCCATAGATCAGAGGTAGTAACCAAATATTTAAAGGAAAATGGTATTGCCGTTTTACCACATCCACCCTACAGTCCTGACCTAGCTCCATGCGATTTTTGGTTGAATGCCGTTATCAAAGAAGCCCTCCGAGGACGGCGATTTGAAAGTCGTCATGCAGTCGGAAGTGCCGCATTCCAGTGTATGAAGCGTATACCGAACGAGGACTATAGGGCAGCATTTTCCACGTGGATTTCAAGACTGAAAAAGTGTGTCCAGGTCAATGGAGACTATTTTGAGGGATTGATATAATTTAATTTATGATAATGACGCTCATTAATCTACCGCACACCAGTTGCCAGAACTTTTGAAATGCCCCTCGTACATGTTCTTTCCAGAAACTTTAGAATAAATAATTTCTTTTTATATATTACTTTGTTTTTTTTTTTTGTTTATTCATTGTTATATCTTCCTCCCCCCCCCCCCCCCCCCCCCCCGCTTGAAGAGGTAATAGTGATGGGGCTTGAAAGGTTAATAGTGATGGGGGTGTCGATCCGTCCGTTCAGTACACTTGGGGTACCCATCTCTTATCCGCAACTCTCCCTATACCACTGACTAAAATTTAATGAGGCGATCGTGCACATCCTATTTCATCAGACAGAGATGTTCTGTGCTACAGCATATTCTAGATGTGCTGTAAATCTGTATTCTCAAAAACTTCTTAAGACTTTTAAAAAAATATAAATCGCCATTTTTTTTTCAAAAATCAGTAACATTAAAAGGTACGACTTTACTACACTTTATACAAACATCCCTCACGATAAATTAAAAAGTATAGGCTCTTTGATAACAAGGACAACTGCTTCTTCAGTAGAAATGGAACAAGGAAACTTCATATCTTGTAATTGGTCATCAGCAAAATTACTTTTTTAAAAATCACTCTGTTTCTACCCACAAGTACTCTAAGTTGATATTGAAAGGATGCTGGAGTTCCTCATTGACAACATTTATGTAGTCTTTGGAGACCATGCAGGTCTTCCAAAAAAAAAAAAAAAACTGTTGGAATTTCGATGGGCACTTACTGTGCTTCTTTATTAGCCAACTTGTTTTATATTCATATAATTTAATTTTGTTTGTATTCTAGCCTCTGATTGGTTAATATCCAAAAAGGAACACAAATTATTTCTGTATAACCTGGTTTGGTATGGGGACACACCCCCCTGACAACCAGCTGAATCATCTGTATCCATACAATCCTCTCATTTCCAGTCCTCGGGATTCATGGAAAATTCCAGATTTGTTAAATGTACCTTTAATTTCAAACAATAATTCGATCTTACCACATGTAAACAACCAACATGGCTGCAAGGTCTATGTATCAGTTTTTACCTCCCCTCGATTCCCATCACTTCCGTTACTTCCGTTACTATGGTTGTATTATTGAGCGGCAAATTTGAACTAATAAAAAGTAACGAAATTTTACACCCATAGTTATTTAATGATTTTAAAATTAAATTATAAGGAATGACTCTAATTCTTGGCCAAATTATTCGAGTATAACCTGGTTTGGGTCAGTTTACGCTGTTTTATAATCCGCTTCGCGGATTATAAAGCGTAAACTGACCCAAACCAGGTTATACTCGAATAATTTGGCCAAGAATTAGAGTCATTCCTAAAATGAAGCAGAATTTAATCAAACACTTCTGCATGAGAAGAAGAAAACACTTGCTGTGGCCTTCAACTCCACAATCTGATTTATCAACGACGTGTTAACAATTAATAATATTCGCTTTCATTCATATGTTGACTCGATATATCCCAGTGAAGTCGAAATAAAAAAAACCACAGAGTCTGCCACATCTGTTTCATATTTAATTTTTTTTTATTGACTATAGACAAAAAGGGCAAACTATCAACGATATTAATGACTTGAACAGCTTTTCCATCGTCAACTTTCCTTATTTGTGTAGTAATACAGTGTATTCCCCAGTCACCTGCATATGGTGTTTACGTCTCCTAACTTATTTGATACCCAAGAGAATGCTCTGAGTACGATCAATTTTTTAACCGAGGCAGACTACTGACAGATAAGTTGATGTTACAAGCCATCAGAATCGTTAATTGACTACACAAAATTCCATCTACCTGATCAATATATACAGGGCTCACAGCGGATGTGACCGGTCGACAGGGGATGCTTACTCCTCCTAGGCACCTGACCCCACCTCTGGAATTTCAGGGAGTCCGTATTTTATGCCCTGTTCACATATTTGTTTTGTTTGTAGATTTTTTTTTTTTTAGATCGATCACTGTCAGATATCTTCATATTTGGGGTTTCCCACGGATTTTGCCATTCTTTCTATACTATGGGGTATCCACCTCTTATCCGCAAATCCTATTCTACCGAATAAAAGTTAATGAGACTTTCACAGAATCTTTATTACATAGTGCCATTGTGCTCCTCCTGTTTTACTTTTTGATCAAGTTTTAAAAAGCCTGAAAAACGTCAGATATTTCGGACTGGCACGTCAATCCCGTCAAATATCAGAATTGTAAAAAGAGTGTGTTTCGGACTAGTGAGCTCAGTGCTCAAAGTACTGTACCTCTGCTCTCTAGCCAGTATCCATCTATAAGTCCCGCATCGCAATAAAATACCAAAATTTATGTGTTAATTTTGACGAAATTGTTGTATGTACATTTCCTTGGTACTTCTATTAAAAAAAATCATTAACGCACGACACCACCCACCCCTTTAATCGACTAGACAAAATTATGATCAACTTATCAAAAATACATGTATACGTCAAACCTAAAAATAGATGGGGATACCGGAAAAGGTTGTTGTGAAATAAACAATAACAACTTGGCTAGCGAAGATGACTTGGCACATTTTTTCATTTCTGTTGTAGGCATGAAACATTCACCATGAGTTCAGAATTTATACCAGGTGTAGAGGCAGGGGCCGATGTAAACGGGGAACTTGCCAGTGACCTTGATAATGTACACAGATTGTCAGCACTTGAAGACTCTTCTTACTGTGACAAAAATGTCTCAAGAACTGAGATATTAGACTTCGGTGATCAAGGATTTTTACTGCATAAATTAATGACACCAAGTGAGTGTCAGCATGTCATCGAAGACGGTGAAAAGATCGGATTTGGTGAAATAAAAGGAGCAAAACGAGACTATCGCAGCTGTGACAGGTAACGTTATGTGTTTATAAATATAATTATGTGTATGTGTGAGAGAGAGAGAAGGGGGAGGGGTCATTTTCGTATGATTACCTTTTATCGTATGTGTACAGGTTAGTGATAGAAAGTGAAGAAATGGCACTAATTCTCTGGAGGAGGATACAGCCCTATTTAACTGACTTCGAAGTTGCAGAAGATTCATCTCTGAAAGACCTACACATTCATGGTGTACCATATTTACTCAGGGGAAAATGGCAACCTGTTGGACTGAACAAGGTACAATTACATGTAAAAGACTTAGTGATGTCTTGGTATAGCAAATTAAAAAGGAAATTGTGTAATGTAACACTCATACTTCAGGTCAATTCAAAATTTACACTTATAAATGCATGCCATTCATGTTATTGTACAACAATATGCTATTTTTTCCAGTTGTTTCGGCTGTGTAGATATTACCCAGGGGGTCATTTCGCCCCACACTTTGATGGTTATTATACCAAGAGCCCAGAGGAGAGATCTCTGAAGACCTTTATGATATACCTCAACGGAGATTTCAATGGAGGAAGCACCAACTTTGTTGATGAAGCACAAACACTGCACAAAGTAAAGTGTATCAAAAGACTTAATTTATAGTCGGAAAGTGAAAAAAGACTCTAATGTAACAATATTATGTTATAAGACTTTGCCTACATTTTTTATGGATATATTACCTAAAAGTAATTAAAAGAAAATATTTTTTTAAATAATTAATTGTGATTTTTGATATTGTTAAGTAATCTTTAGAAATAATTAATTTCTCTGATGGCCCCTTTTCCAAATGCATATATTTATTTATACTGGCAGGATAAAAATGGAAAGTACTGTGCAGAAAAAGAAAATGTTCTTTGTAAGATCACACCAGAAGAAGGAATGGCCATCTTGTTTAATCACCAAAGACTTCATGAGGGGGAACAACTCTTGTGAGTAGCTTTAAGATAGACAATATGTAGCATAATTGGTAAAGTAACATTAGTACAAAATGCATTGAAACATAGAAAAAAATTCTGATATGAATTTTTTTAATCTTTAATAATTTTTTCAGGTCTGGCAAGAAGTATATTTTGAGAACTGATATTATGTACAAAAAGATGGGAGAGAGACAATTGGATGCCAAACAGGAAAAAGCAATAGCCCTGCTACAGGAGGCTGAGAGACTAGAGGTAAATGTCTAAACATAAGGACCAAACAGGAAAAAACAATACCCCTGTTACTGGAGGCTGCGAGTCTAGAGGTAAATGTCTAAACATAAGGACCAAACAGGAAAAGCAATAGCCCTGTTACAGGAGGCTGAGAGACTTGATGTAAATGTTTAAACATAAGGACCACACAGGAAAAAGCAATAGCCCTGTTACAGGAGGCTGAGTGACTAGAGGTAAATGTCTAAACATAAGGACCACACAGGAAAAAGCCATAGCCCTGTTACAGGAGGCTGAGAGACTAGAGGTAAATGTTTAAACATAAGGACCACACAGGAAAAAGCAATAGCCCTGTTACAGGAAGCTGAGAGACTAGAGGTAAATGTTTAAACATAAGGACCAAACAGGAAAAAGCCATAGCCCTGTTACAGGAGGCTGCGAGTTTAGAGGTAAATGTCTAAACATAAGGACCACACAGGAAAAAGTAATAGCTCTGTTACAGGAGGCTGAGAGACTATAGGTAAATGTCTAAACATAAGGACCAAACAGGACAAAAACAATAGTCCTTTTATAGGAAGCTGAGAGATTAGAGGTAAATGTCTAAACATAAGAACCACACAGGAAAAAGTAATAACCCTGTTACAGGAGGCTGAGAGATTAGAGGTAAATGTCTAAACATAAGGACCACACAGGAAAAAGTAATAGTCCTGTTACAGGAGGCTGAGAGACTAGAGGTAAATGTTTAAACATAAGGACCAAATAGGAAAAAAACAATAGTCCTGTTACTGGAGGCTGAGAGACTAGAGGTAAATGTCTAAACATAAGGACCATACAGGAAAAAGCAATATAGCCCTGTTACAGGAGGCTGTGGAAATATGTAAGGGCCTGAATAGGATCAATATTAGAAGTTCATTTAAACACCTATCTCTATCTACCAGTAAGTACAAGTCTGTGCTTTGATAAATATTTTGTATTTGCCTCCTGTTTGAAATAAAAGTCCATTCTATCATTGCATCTTGCAACATAACTAGGATCCCTTTATTGCCAAGTTGTCAAAACTTCAAATAAATGAAAAGTCTTTAACATTATTGCTATTTATCATTGAATAACATTTGCTTGTTACTCCAATAGTTTTAAAATATATATACATGTATGTAATATTTCATGGAGTGCTTGTTTTAATTACAGGCCCAAGGGGATTGTATGCAGGCAGCTGACTTATACAGGAAAGCATTCAAGTTATCCCCTGAGCTTGAGAACTGCTACTGAAATTCTGAAGTGCTTCATCAATGTTCCATGATGTATTTTATTTCTATGCATAAAACAATGTTCATGAACATTTTGTACTCTTCAACTGCACAGTCAGGTCAATTATGTAAAGGCATATTTCATATATTGTTATTCATTTCAATTCTTTATATTATATATACTTGGCTTTTGAATATTTTTGTGTCTTTTTGATGAGATAATCTTCACACTCTGCTCAGCAACAAATTACAAACCAAAAATGTACAAATTTGTTACTTCTATGAGCCATCCTTTATCTGCTCTTTGATGCTAAATGGAGAATTTTGTCTCTCAGGGATACATTTCTAACAGTTAAGATCTTGGTGAGAGAAATACAATTTTGTTGATTATAAACATTTAATTTTATTAGACATGTAGAAAATATAGATCATTCTTTAAATGGATTGGTCAATCAAAAGGAAGCAAAACATTTAAACAGTGCAACATAGCTATAAACAATATTCTGCAGAAAAATTAGCAACTAGTAAAACAGATTTTGAACATAATTTGACAATTACTCTTAGACTAGTTTAATATGAACATAACCTAAAACTGGAGTTATCAAATATTATATAAAACAACATATTACATTGTTTACAATAAAAAAAAAACTTAACCAATGCTGCATTCCTAAAACTTAAGCCTAATCTTTCTATACTTTGCAGTTTCTGCTTTGAGAGATAGAGTCTGGTTGTGTGATAAGAATTTGATAGGTCTATCAATGTGACCTTGACCATCTGACCTCAAATTAGGGCCATGTCAACTACTTATTTAAAAAAAAAAGTCATAAGTTGACTACAAACTTCTAATGTTTGAAAAAAAAAATTAAAATTTAAAATATGTAGGGCCAAATCCCTATAATTAAAATACATTCTGCTGATTTAACAAAGTGACAAAGGGGAATAATTTTGATTATACAATGACTTTTTCCCTAAATAATGTGTTTCAACAGTGTTGGTCAGGGTTGAAACACATAAATTCCACAAAAACAAGTTTCATGGAGAAACAAGACTCTGATCTTAATAACAGAGATGTATGGATAACCTGACAGGGTGTTTCCAGTTTGCCTCTTGATACATTTTGCTAAAAAACTAGAACCACAAGAACTTTAACTTGTTCGATGGAATTTTGAAAATGAATGTTATTTGTCTGGAAAAGTTCAAAATCAAGTTGAAATGGCATAGAATAAATAAACATCTAATTCTATGAGAGAAAATAAAGAATAAATGAAAATCTATTCCAATAGTGAAAACTTTGTCCAGTTTATGAACAACACACACAATGACCAGATATTCTTCAGCATGGTTAGAGAGTAATCATTGAATAAAAAAATTAAATACTAGTAAAACATATCTACCGGTATATAAATCACATTGCAATTTCAGGCTTACTTAAATTGGTGCTATTTATCTAATAAATATCATTCGAGTAACTAGATTGTATATAAAACAGGTGGTAAGTCTTCCAAGGAAAAAAAAGATATTTCTTCTGACTTTATTCTTCCATGTGTTTAATACTTGTCTATAGGAAATTTACGATCCTCTATTGCAGTCTCTCAATTTTTACATTTTAATAGAAATTTACATGATGAGGCAGAATACGACCTTGTGGATTTCAAAACTTAAGCTACACATTATGTAACACTGGTCAACAGTATAAGGCATTGTGTGTCATGCAAAAGAATTAAATAAAATTTATTTATTACATTTTCAACAGTGAAATACTGTAATTTATTTATTGAAGAAAAGTGATATTCTCTCACAGTGTGAAAGGATACCAAAATGATATTCTCTCACAGTGTGAAAGGATATCAAAGTAAGTAAAAAATAATTTCTGGACTGTCATAAGATAGAGATAGTAACTAACGATCTTGATAGAGCTAAAACTGCAAATTTCTTCCCAAATATGTTGGTAAAAGCCATGCTATGTAATGTTTTCAATCTCAGAACTGCTAAGCTGTTACGTCTCAACCGCTCAACTATGACGTCAAGCCTATGACACTGTGTTAAGAAAAGACAGAGGCAAAGCTAGAGAAAATCAAAGAAAATGTAATAAACAGAAAATTCAATGTTTTGTAGATGAATATGGAATTTATTTCACTCATGAGACAGGATTTTTTGATATTTTCACTCGTGCTTCGCACTCATGAAAATATCAAAAAATCCTGTCCCACTCTTGAAATTAATTCCATATTCATCTACAAAACATTGAATATCCTCTATATATAATAATGATAATAACAGCACCAAGCAAAGAGATAAACATATACATGTATGCTCATTAAATACCATAAGAGGAGTCTGAAGATTCAACTAAAGGTACACATAAAAATGTGAAGTGAATGCTTATATAATGACTAAACAAATCAAAACATTTCTTATATATATTCCTGTTGATGTATGTCAAAGTTAAAAAAATAATAATCAAAGTACTTGCTTTTACATGTATATACATGTAAGTTTAAATTCAATTCAAACCCTAAAACAAAAATACTTTTCTTCTTTCTCAGAAATATTTACATTTTAAAACCAATACATAATTTCAAATTGTGTGCACAGTACATCCACAATATGGGTTAACCATAAAAATAAATAAATAAATGGTGGTGTGTTTCTAGATATCACAGAGAAATAAGTGCATAGCATGAACTGGTTCTATCAGGTAGAGTCATGGTACCTAGAATACAAGGCATTATAGGGTGGTTCTAATAGAATGCTGGAAATTCAATAGGAATGTACTGATGTGGGTTACTCCGCCTTCTTGCTATCTCTAATAACTACTACAATGTACTACATTTCATTCCATAAAATTTGTGACCTTCAAGCAAACTCCAAAATCTACAACATGTACAATTAAATTATGTAATAAATAGTTCAATAACTTTACACACCTAAATTAGACTTCCTGTTTTTGTTAGAAAAGGAGGTACCATTGTACTGAATATTTATATGCAATACAAAATGCAGTGAAATGCTTCAATTACAATCCTTGATGATTACAACCGATGATTTTCACTTCCTAAGAAATACAGAATAATGGATTTCTCATTGGATATAATATGTGTTGACTGTAGTGATATTATATAGATGGTCTCCATGAGACTGCTGTAAAAGTATAGAGAACCATAACAGACTCTTCTACATGTGTAGTCATAACATTCTTATATCCAGCACCTAGATGAACACAAAGTGAAATATTTATAGACTATACTATAACCTTATGAAGAGAGAGTTTTCTCATAATGGACAAAGTATCACTCCTTTATCAATTTTTTTGTTAGCATATCACTTAGTATTTGGAATACTGAGGAGAAATAAATAATGCACAATTTAACAAGCTGATTCAACAAATTATATAACAATCTTGCAGGTATTCTATGTATTCCAATAACATGATATACATACATGTACAAACATGCACAATATAAATACAAATTACATAACAGTGGACAAATAAGACTTCATTGTCAATCTTCATATTAAAAAAAATATATAAATACATGTCTACATTTATATACTTTGTATTTCTCATATTGCACCTAGATTTTTTAAAATTTTATTCACAACACATAAAAAAAATAATAACAATTCTAAATCCTTATTTTTTTTTCTTCCTGAAATAATGTTAAGATGAACATATTCCAAAGTTTATACATGTACATGTAGGTACAACATAAGAAGGAAAAAATAGGTCCCAAAGAACTATGCATGGAATGTAAAAACTTTTACATTTATGACCAAGAAAGAAGAGCATCTAGTGATGTCACAGTTTATCTCATTATAATTTCCTACGAATTGTTATCTTTTAATAAAAATTACTTTTTACATGTATTCTCAAAAAACCTAGAAACATTGGGGTAAGTTCCCAAAGATTGAAAATAAAATATAATCTTGCCAATATCTAGAGTTTTACAGTTACTACTCATATGGAGTGAAATGAGATCCATTGTTGTAGACTGTTGATATCAGACATCTGGAGATTCCACAGTTACCCTGGGTATGCACCATTGTCCTCTGTCTGTCAGCTTGTCAACTTACGAAATTTTTCTATAGTGTGGATGCTACTGGAGAGTCTAAAATTAGACACATGAAGAACAATCAGATATTAACAAATTTTATTGTTTACATGTACCAGTATCTATTGAACATTTCTGTGTAATACATTATTTTTGTATGTTTAACTGTGCATTTTTGTCCCCTGCTTTCATTTAAAGTGTGAGATATTAATTTGGGTCTGTCCATCCATCCATCTATATTTCTGTCTGTGTGTAACACTTTCATTTTTGAATGATATCTCAGGAAGCCTTTGAGCTATTGCAATGAAGTTTAATACCACAACTACCTATGGCCTAAAGAAGACCCCTATTAATTTGAGGTCGAAGGTCAAGGTTATAAAGTCATTCATTCTGTTTATGCATTTGTTTCCGAGCTTTTGCAATGACATTTCATATCACAACTCCTCATGGCCTAAAGAAGATCCCTTTTGATTTTGAGGTCAATAGGTCAAGGTCAAAAATCCTACATTACAAATAATATTATTTTCCAGATGATAACTGGTTTTGTTTTGTTTTGTTTTTTTTTTAAAGCTTTTTTAAGAAAATTTAATATCACAATTCCCTATGATATAAAGAAGACCCCTATCTATTTGAAGTCAAAAGGTCATAGGTAGAGGTCATGAATTCATACAATCTGTTTGTGTGCAGCACTTTCGTTTCTGCTGTGGTTTTTAAAGATTTTCCCCTTTATATTCCTATGCAAATCTTTGATAGCCTAAAGTGGCCCCATCCTACCCCAGGGGGTCATAATTTGGAGAAAACTTGAATCTACTCTGTGTTATGAAGCTTTCTCCTATGTTTCATCTTTTCTGGCTCGGTGGTTCTTGAGAAGAAGATTTTTAAAAGATGCCATTCAATTTTCTCTAAATTTTAGTTATCTCCCCTTGAAGGACAGTGAGGTCCTTCATTTAAATAAACTTGAATTCCTTTCATCCAAGGATGCTTTGACAAGTTTGGTTGAAATAAGCCCCGTGGTTCTGGAGAAGAAGTTGAAAAATGTGAAATGTTTACAGACAACACACAGCATGACAGAAAGATGCCAGACACTATTCAATCAAAAAAGCTCACAAGCTTT